TTGAATTTACTTACATTTTGTGAATTGTTTTATGTACTATGTACTATGTACTATATACTGTAAATCCCGCTCTGATTAAAATGATTTAAAAAGAACACAGATACAACCTTTCAGATATTGTTACTCATTACCAATTGTATAAGTGTTTTTCTACAAATGTTAAATTATATGTTCTATATATAGTTGTAAATATTTTAATTAATAACATAGTATATGATATTTTTATTAATAACAGTCTATGATTGCTCTAGTCTATACCCTTCTATTGCATCTATAGTTAATTATGTTTGGGAACTTACCAAAAACAGAGAACTTTTGTCTTCAGTTTGGAATTTTTTGTGATTGCTGTTGTGATTACTTAATACTTCTTTAGGTTTTATTTGTTTAGTATAATGTTTTCAATTCAACATGTTAATTTAACATATCCAGTAAAGAGTTACAACTACCGGTTTGCTATGATTAAAAAAGACATTTTAATAGTTGCATTACCCTATACCACTAATTGCAAATTGATCAGGTAATTGCTAAATCTTTAAAGAAAGACATTAGACAACACGTTTTAATCTATTTCTGAGTAATGAATAATTTACATAAGTAGTAACACAATTTTAAAAGTTCTGTGTGGTACCATTCAGTATTGTTGTGTTTAAAATAGGCTGTAGACAAATATAACAGAAACCCCACATGAAAAAGAAGTCAATTAGTACTTTTAAAAGTATATGTTGATGTTCAATCAACAGGAAACAGCTTAAAAAAGAGTTTAAAAGGAGTCACATGGAGCCCAAACTACAGGTGCATCTATAAAAAGAAAACCCTACAAAATCATTTGTGCCAACACGTTTAGGGGAACAGTCTCAAAAGTGGTAGCTGCACATTTGTAATATCAGCAGACTATACTGGTAAAAAAGAACAGGTTCCAAGCTGAAATCCGTTGATGAAATGCATGGACAACAGATAGTAGCTAAATTCAATCAAAATAGGGGGCACAAATCATGGTTCTAATAAATGTAAAAAGCAATACACCGTGTGGTTTATTTACTACAGCTGGTGCACTCTGAATCTGGTGCAGCTGTGCATGGTAGCCAATCAGCTTCTAACCTCGGCTTGTTCAATTAAGCCTTAGCAATAAAACCTGGAAGTTGATTTGTTTCTATGCAGAAGTGCACGAGATACTAAGTGAACCTTAGTAAATAGACCCCCATGTTCTTGTATCCAGATAAACATATGCCTGGAAAAAGGTGAAGGATGCCTTCAAACCAGAATGTTGACTGCCATTGTGGTATTCTCTACACAGTTGATTTATGGAAAGCCTACAGAAATTTTTTTTTCCTGCTTATGTAATTGTTTCACTGGGTTTTCCAGAAGTCTGCACTAAGATACAAGTCAGCTTTTAGGCACTCTGCAACAAAAAAAATCATTTTTTGGTGAAAAGCTCTTAAAGGGTTAATTACTTCTAAGGGGATGCAAACCCAGCAACATTCCACATTAGAGCACTGCAAGTGCATTAGATGATCAATAATGAAAAAAATCACTGTACAAAATCAGTACCCAAAAGATATAGAAGAACAAACAGCTATTCCTTCAGATGAGAAACAGGTAGGAATCTTCAACAAAGTTTGCTAAAAATCCTTTACACTGATCATCCCCAAGGGGACAGTTTTTTTTATCAGTAAAAGTAGAGTTACACTTTAACCTGCTGTTATTCAAAACATAGTAGCTGTCTCTACAGACACCAGAGAAAAAAGAAAAATTTTTGGACCACCATTTTAGTTTAACTCTAAATTGATGATCTACAAAGATTTTTGATACATAACCTATTTATCACTCTGCAATTTTCCCACTTTTGTAAGAGTATGTAAATTAGATGATATATACCCTCACTGGCCACTTTTTTCAGGTACACCTGTTCAATTGCTTGGTAACACAAATTGCTAATCAGCCAATCACATGGCAGCAACTCAATACATTTAGACATCTAGATGTGGTGAAGATAACATGCAGAAGTACAAATCAAGCATCAGAATGGGGAAGAAAAAGGATTTAGGTGACTTTAAACATGGCATGGTTGTTGGTTCCAGATGGGCTGGTCTAAGTATTTAAAAAACTGCTGATCTACTGGGATTTTCAAACATAACCATCTCTAGGTTTTACAGAAAATGGTCCAAAAATGAGAAAATATCCAGAGCGCTGCAGTTGTGTGGACAAAAGTGCCTTGTTGATGTCAGAGGAGAATGGGCAGACTGGTTGCTGTGACATTCAGATGGCAGGGTCAGAATTTGGCACAAACAACATGATAGCATGGATTCATCCTGCCTTGTATCAATGGTTCAGGCTGGTGGTGTAATGGTGTGGGGGATATTTTCTTGGCACTAGCAAGGTGTACCTAATAGAGTGGCAGGTGACTGTATATTTAGTCTTTAATAACTCAACACAGTATTGTCTTTGTTACTCAATAGTAAATTTTAATATTATGTTGTGTTTTATGCACTAAATTTTTTTTTTGGCTGAAAGTACAGATTTCAATAGCATTACCCCAAACACTGTGCAACATGCAAAAATGGGACTACCATCTTTTTATTCTACTTTCAGAAAATGTATGTTTTGGTGGTAAATAACAAGCCCATGTTATTTTTCATCTATTATTGGAATACATCAACAGAGTACATATATCGTAGTGGGCTTGGTTGGGTGGCCCAGAGTCTAGGATCTAATTTGATCTTAGTTCAGCTCTGGGTGTATCCATTTTCTATTATTATTATTAATTTTTTTAGGTTATATAAATATTTATCAATTAACTATACATGTATATTTGCTTTTCATTATTAAAGAAGGTGACAACAAACTAGATACTTAAATATTTGCATGTTTTGCATGGTTATTCTTACAGTATGTTATTTATGCTGCTTTTTTCAACTGAAGGAAGTCACCTGACCAGAAAACTAGAATTGCAAAATTCTTTATCCCTGGACTGTTTATGGCTGGCGGGCATATGCATAAAATCATAAAGGAAAAACCTTTATGATGATATAAAGAGAAAAGGTAAATTTTAAAGCTGTTGATGGTTAATATTAATAATGTAATTTGTACATTACTACAGGCAGATTATTGATTTCCCATGAAAGGTCTACTTTAAATTATGTTTTACTCTTGTGGCTGTACAGGATCATTACTCATTAATTTGTTGATAGCAATGACAACACACGCATTTTGTATCAATTATAGAATCAGCAGACTAATTTAAACAATCTTTATATGTGGTTTTAAAAAAAATTATTATTGATGAGTGCCAGCAAAACTGGACCATTGTTTTTAAATTTGAAACACGTGTTATGTGTAATCCTCAGTCATTTAACATTTCATTAGTAAAAAAAATGTTCCATTTGAGGTTCATTTATAATATTTTGCAGTAAATCTTAGTAAATATTATTGTAACATTAAACCATGGTGTGTTGTAGCAAATGTGCTACAGTATATTACTTGTGCAGGAGTAATATGTAGTATAGGAGCCAAATAGTGATTACCAATAGTTAACGCTTAAAGAAATATTTGACATTTCTAAAATACTCATTGAGTGCACTGGCATTGGAGAATTCACTTCATGGAAACTGGATAGAGGGCTGTCAATTAAGAAACTTTAATGCCATATTATACAAGGTGGTTATTTTCAACACCAGCCACATCAGCAGCCTTTCCTCATTGAACAATGCCTTCACCATTTTGGCTTCCAGCAAGACGAAACAGTATCACCAGCAATGCAGTGACCTTCAATTTGGCCTGAGACTAAAGGCAGCAAGCATGGGAAATAATTGTTTCACAAGAATGGTACGTCAGCTACAGTGCATCAACAAAGTTGACCTCAGCAAAATTCTTTCAGTTGTTCTCCAAGAACTATATTTACCACAAGGTATTCATTAGCCAGTTCAGAAGGGGAAGTGGAGGCAGCACCAGCTTCAAAGCACAATATTCAAAATTTGTGTTTAGTTTCTTAGTTCTAATCTTAGGGCATGATCACATCTGGACAACATAGAAAAAAGCGTTTCATGGAGTACAGTTTTTTCCAGAGGATCTACAAGTCCTAAATGTGTGTAATTGAGCAAGCTTAGCATGCTTTCAGGTGTATTCAGTTGTGATTTTTCATCAGTTTGGGATGTTTTTGAGATCCTCCACAGGTGTTTCACCTGTCAAACCTGTTAAACCAACACTTTTCTGAAGGGCTTATTTCTGTTATAAAATCTATTTATTGCCTTTAGGATATTGGTGTATTGTGGATCACGTTACATGGCTGCTAATGAATAGAAATGGTAGGTGTGTTAAATAGTTTACAGTCCCCTAACCCTCTAACTTCCATTTTTGCTGCACAACTTGGTCTGGTAAAGAAAGTAAAAAAAAAACAGCAGAAACAATAGGTTAAACAAAAACTAATTCCAACCAACAATACTAAAACAGTTTTCTTGCTGCTTTGTGTTCCATTGGAAAAAAAAACCTTCTTTGTCCCTAATCCCTAAACAGGCAGTAGTAAATATCCTTATCCACTCTATTGAAAGGATAAGTTCACCATTTAAAAAAATTAATAAATGCACATTATTTGCAAGTAAAAAATGTACATTTATTATTATTTTTTTCATCAGCCTGTAAAACATTGCACCCGCGATCAACATTGCATTTGTGGTTCATTAATTCATAGAAATACGTTAATGAATGATGCAACCATATGAGTGGAGCCCACTGCACTCTTTTTGATTTCTGACAGCTGGTATGGGGAGAAGATCCCTGGCCCGCTGTCATAGGGAGATGGGAGAGCATGCAGATCCATTACATGTTGCACCCTTAACCGCCTCCCATCCACCATATAAGGTAATGACGGGCGCAAGATGGTTCTCTCGTTCTGGGAGGACGTCATATGATGTCCTCCCATTCTAACCATGTGTGCGCGCCCCCAGGGGCATGCAGCGTGGCGATCGGTGGTGCGTTGTGTTCCTGGGACACAGCTGATCACTGATCAACAAAAAGAGCTGATGACGTCAGCTCTGTCATGTGATCAGCTGTGTCCAATCACAGCTGATTGCATGTAAATAAGGAAATGCTGACAGCTCGTGAGGAAAGGAGAGCCGATAATTGGCATTACTCAGAGGGGACATGTACACTGATCAGCAGGGCACATATCAATGCCACATATCAGTGCCTACCAGTGCACATCAATGCAACATATCAGTGCCCATGTGAGCTGCCTTTCAGTGCCACCTATCAGTGCCAGTCAGTGCCATCTATTAGTGCCAGTCAGTGCCGCCTGTCAGTGCCAGTCAGTGCCAGCTGCTGCCTATAAGTGTGCATCAGTGCTCCCTATCAGTGCCCATCAGTGCTGCCTAACAGTGCCACCTAACAGTGCCAGTTAGTGCCACCTAACAGTGCCAGTCAGTGCCGCCTATCAGTGCCAGTCAGTGCTGCTTATCAGTGCCACCTATCAGTACTGCCTGCCATATATGATTGCTGCCTTTCAGTGCCCATCAGTGATGCCTGTCAATGCCCATCAGTGGCACCTACCAGTGCCTCTTCATCAGTGCCCATCAGTGCTGCCTATCAGTGCCCATCAGTGCAGCCTATCAGTGCCCATCACTGCAGCCTCATTAGCGCACATCAGTGAAGGAGAGAAATCACTTATTTACAAAATTGTATAACAGAAACTAAGAAATAACTTTTTTTTTCAAAATTTTCAGTTGTTTTTGGTTTGTTTAGCAAAAAATAAAAAACCCAGAGGTGATTAAATACCACCAAAAAAAAGATCTATCTGTCTTAAAAAAATTATAAAAATGTCATATGGGTACAGTGTTGCATGACCATGCAATTGTCATTCAAAGTGCTACAGTGTTGAAAGCTGAAAATTTGCCAGGAAGGGAGTATAAGTGCCCTGTAGGCAAGTGGTTAATATGGGTGTAACATGTGACATGTTCACAAAGGTGAACTTATCCTTCAAAACTAAACAAAAAAGCTTTTCAATGGGGGTTCACTTCTAAAAGACTGATCCTCCAAATTCTCAAATAGAGAGCTATGTTTGATGTGGAAAGTCTACTGAATAGTTTTTTTGTTTGATACAATTTTCCTTTTTCCTGGTGCCAACATGGCAGCAAACATTATCAAATACTTACTGTAATTTTCCTTTCCTGGTGCCAATCCATGGCAGCATACTATCACATGTATGCTGCCAGGTTGGCTCCAGGAAATAATGTTTATTAGACTAAGTTCCGAAATATGCTTTATAGGGTTTCTTTGCCTCTGGATTAACTGTGGGTTTAGGATTCTGTATATGGAGGTTTTCTATTTATTTATTCTACAATTTTTTTTATTGGTTGAATTAGATAGATGTATGTCTTTTTTAACCTAACTAATGTATATACTGTATATAACTACTGTATATTAATGATACTAACTCTCCTGTTTTGTTTTGGGCTGTTAAGCAGAGTTTTTTATGAATATGTGATTATCACTTTTATAGATCTATTAAAATGATTGAGTTCTATTGATTGTACATGTGGTATTATGGGGAAATCAATTCTAAAGTGTAGGTTAATATGAATTATTGAGTAAGCCTTAGTATTGTATGTGACAGTTCATGCTATAGTTGTGTCTATAAAACAAATTACTATAGTGCAGCAACCTTATTCATCAAAGAGTACTAATTCTAAAGTGCAGAAACCCACAGAACCCAACTACAATATACTCTACTGATGTATAACCAGAGTCAAAGGCAACCTGACGTAACCTGAGGAAAGACAATGCTGAAGTGCAGACATATTGTGGTGCTTGCCAATACTTACTTTAGTCTTCAAATTGATCCCCGTATCCCTGGTGAATCCCAGAAATAGACTATAGACAGAAACCGCATAAAGACATTGAATAGTGCTTCTACTGAAACTAGTCCTATGCCCTGTCATTTAACTTTCAAATGTAGCCTCAGCTTCCAATTTAGACTTTTGACAGATGAATGAAATGGGACTTTCTGGAGGAGCTGGGCTAAATCTTGATTTGCAGTCCCTATGTAAAAGTTGGGCCTAGGATCCAAGGCACACCACAGGAACACATGGACTGACCTGAAGACTTACATAGATACTAGATTATTTTGGGTCAGGTCTGATACATTTTAGGATTTAGTACTCTTTATAAAATAATGCCACACATATTTGAAGTCTCTTGGTATAGACCTTTTTAAAGGATGCATCCTTACACCCACAGCTTGAGACTTATTGAATACTCACAAAATAAACTAATTCAGTGGAAACATTTTAGGAATCTGGAAACTATGTCTTGTGATAGTAATAATGAATAACGTTTTATTTGAATAATTTTACATAGGGTACCATGTGCTAAATGACTGCATATTTTGGGAGCATCAAGGAAACACATTCTTTTCCAAGGATTAATATCTTTTATAATTATGTTTGACAGTACAAAGCAGACAAAGTAATTCATCCAGAAAAAAATATGACAGCACATATTTTAGGTAAATCTGTACTTAATAGAGCTATGTCAAAGTAATTTGCTTTTACAAAGTTTGATACCTGCTGTCTGTGCATTTGTTTTGGATAATTTCAGCATGTGCTATCTTTCAATTTTAATACATACTGTTGTTTTTGAAAATGTATTCCTTTATATTTGTCCTCACTAATGTATTCCGTTTGGTCTGTTTCTGTCTGTTTTGGATATATTTGCATTTATGCACATGATGTAAATAAAGTACTTTTTTACATAAGAGTACACATCTTTTATTTATAAAGTTGTGGTTGGTCCTAAAGTACTGCTGCTTACATGGGAGAATCACAAATTGAGAACTTTAAGATAACATGATTTTTTATTAAAGTAGCTCTCTGTAGCATCTGAATTAAAAAAATGAACCACACACTTACTTACATTTCTTTAATCTTAATTTCTATAAATGTGTGCATGTACAGTAAGTGTTTTTGTGTGTAGTTATGTATGCATGTACATGTACAGATATATGAATGTATGATAGCCATGATTTTCTAGCTTCCTTGATGACTTCTCTGCCTGGCTGCCTTACTTTCTCTCTTCTGAAATTCCCACAGTCATTCTCAGTAACTTCAACATCCCTGTTAATCTTAACACTCCTACTACTTCTAAACTTCTGAGCCTAACCACTTATTTTGACCTAAAACAATGGACACATGATTCTACTCACTCATGGTAACTGCTTTGACCTTGTATTCTCCTACCTATGCACTCCTTGCAACCTCACCAACTTTCCTTTTCCTCTTTCTGATCACTCCCTTATTAGCTTCACTCTCTTCTTGGCTTCCTGCTCCTTCAGTCCTCCAACTACCGAACAGTTACTTGTAGAAACCTTCGCTATCTTAACCCTTCTCTTCTTTTTTCTGCAACAGATTGTCTCTATGACAAAATCTCAGCCCTGTCCTGCCCCAACCTGGCCACTTCTGTCTACAACAGTTCACTGTCATCCACCGTGGACACATTGGCCCCCCTCACTACATACAGAATTTGGCCCTGATCGCTACAGCCCTGGCAAACAGAAAATACCAGATGCCTCAAAAAACTTAGCCGTGCTCTTGAGTGTGTATGGCGTAAAACTAAGACCCAGCAGAACTTTAACCAATATAAATCTGCCTTTCAAAAATACAATTCCTGTCTCCACACTGCTAAACAGTCCTATTTTATCATTCTTATTAATACCCTCACACGCAGTCCCCGTCAACTCTTTTCTACCTTTAACTCTCTACTTTATCCTTCTTTACCTCCACCCATTAACTCACTCACTGCCCAGGAGATCGCTAATCACTTCAAAAATAAGATTGCTACAATTTCTGATGAGATCCCCACTGTACAGATATCTCCCTCATCCTACACTCCTTGTCCACCTGTACAATCTATACTTCCCTTGTTTATACCAAAAAACTGAAGGCAGTGCTCTTCAAATTAATATATCTCTGAATGCGTGAACTCCACAAGATAAATAAATAAATATTGGTATAAAATTATTACACCAAGTGATATCAAGCAGAACAAATCAATGTGAAAAATAATAAATAATTTGTGTCCAACAAAAAAGTCCATATAAATAATAGTGTTCATAAAAGTAATATTCCTGAAACAAAAAATTTTCTTTGATCCTTGTATTAAATTCTTAAAAAATGTGACCTAAAACCACCGTGAGTATCCACCACCAAATGAAATGAATCCACTCACCAGAGCTCCATGCTGGTAAAATTATAAACCAGCTGCAACCGCTTAAGCTCTGGGAGCAACGATCTGCAGAAGCATACCCCAGCTGATTGAAATTTCTTCAAATTACAGTTGGCTTCTCATATACTCAGAATGGGACATAAAGGAAGAAGAAAGGAATCCACATAGTGTAAAACCATCCAAGCTTTTATTCAATACAAAACGTGTTAAAACTACTCACATTTGTCAGTGCCAAAGCCTACACTAGCATATGGTGCATAGAACATAGACAATCACAGGTTTGCTCCAATCAATGGTACTTCACCCATATGTGGTGACGTCACCTCCGAGGCCCCGCTCTATGCGTTTCACCATCTGACATCCTCCTGGCTGTTACTTGTAAAATAAAGCATTATATATATCTATCACCTTTCCTGCAGTAACCAGTGAGATCAGAGGAAGGAACCATTGAGAGCTGTGTGGAAGCATGAAGATTGTCAGTTTCCCAGCGAATGTTAGGGAGACCAGTTTTAGTGATTGGAGTGGTGATGGGCTGTACAAAGATAATGATGAGGTTCCTTGGTGCTTTATTGGTAGTGGCACCTAAATGGTAACCTTGTCAGGAACCTCTGGCCGGCCATGCTCATTTTCATGTACAGAGGTTAGACTAAAAACTGGAAATGCTACACGATTTGTAGGTATGAAAGTGAAAGTGTTTCTCATTGAAATGGGAAGTGATGTAACATTCTTTTGCTTCTGCTGTGAGATGAGACACCTAGCTAACAGGTGGAAAGCCTCACTTTCATCATTCACTGTGTGTGCTGCTAGTAATATGGAATCACGTCAGAGCTTACTGAGCTTCAAAAAGGACAAATTGTTGGTGTAACAGTCTTCATGGGACTGTGAATGAGCTCTGCAGTCACTTTTGTAGCAGCTGTTTTCTTATTCTGTGTCACAATTTTGTGCAATGTCCTTTTGTCTCTTCTGGTCAGTTGACCATGTCAACCTCGCTTACGTTTATCAGATGATGTTTTCCCAAAAACTGTACATGCCATCATAACCTTTGATACTGTACCTCATAACAAGGCAAATAAATCAGCAACTTCAGTCTCAGAGGCACCAGCTAAGTGGGCACCAACAATTTGCACCTTTGAGGTTTAGTAAGCTTTGATGTAATTCCATAAAATTAGCAGCATATGCAGTAAATGATGAAAGTGAGGCTTCCCACCTGTTGACTAGGTGTCTCTAGGAGCAAAAGAATGTTCCATCACATCTGCTTTCAAAGCGAAACATGTCATCATTTTCACACCTAAAAATCATGTAGCATTTTGGTTTTTTTTTTCATAACCCCTGTACATGCTCATACTCGTGAGTATAGATATGTTTGTGCTCATACTCATGAGCATAGATAAATGCCTGGGCTTGCAAGAATGAGAACATATGCACACACATGTTGGTGCCCAATGGCTTATTTTAACCAGAGGCC